CGGACCTGCACGAAGGCAACACTGACGATACATCGGAGAGGCCCTCACGGGATTCACCGAGGCATTCACTAAGCAAGAGACGCTCACCTCCACGCAGGTCTCCGCGCAGGTCTCCACGCATGTCGCCCTATAGACGCAGCTCAACGGATTCATCTCCACGCAGGTCTATAGGCATGTAGCCCTATAGACGCAGCTCAACGGGTTCATCTCCACACAGATCGCCACGCAGATCCCCAGCGAAGGACGATCAACCATCTCATAACAGTGGACCTGATACAGAGGACGACGGCGGTATCATCTTCTCGGACTCAGAGATAAAATATTGGAAGGCTAATGGACTGGACTTAGCGTCACCCTCTAAGGAAGAGAATGCAGCACTCACATACCTAATGAAGGACGATGAGGTCGACACGATCACTCTACCGCCAATTGATCCCATCTCGGAAGTACCAGAGAACTTGGACGCAGCCTTCAGGAAGGCAACGAAGTCTCAGGCTCCGAATATCCCACAGTTCAACGCAAAGAAGTTCTCTCTACACAACATGGACCCCTTCATGAAGGCACAAGAAATCGATGACAACTATAAGATCATCAACGACGTCCAGTCCAAATCTTACAAGATTGAGGACAAAAAGCTGGCGCAGATAGACACGATGACCAGAAGGATGTTCTTCGGACTGAACAGATCCAGGGCAGTGAATGAGACGCTCATCGCCAAGTTCAGGGACTCTACTGCAGAGGAGGACCGGATGATCTATTCTGCTCTACTCACGCAGAAGAAGGACCAGCAGTTTATGACGGACCAACTATCATCCATATCAGCAGCGTTGACGTTAGCTAGAAGACAGGGACTACTGTCATCCTGCAACTGGAGCGAACGCTTACGAAGTCGCTGTACAGAGCCCCATGGTCTACATCATCCATCTTCGCAGGGGAGATTGACGCCGCCGCCAAGGAAGTCACGAAGGACTCCAGGGAGGTCTTAATGATCAAGTCCATCGATACAATAGCCAGTGTCATCAGGCAGACGTCCCAGGGCTACTCGGGCAAGTCTAAGTTTGCAGGCATCCAGAAAGCAAGAGAGAAGAAAATGGTGACCTCCAGAGGAGGAAAGGACTCTTTTTGTCGCCCAGCCGGCAACTATAGAGGACGATCCAGACAAGGCAGGGCACCCAGAGGTGCCAGAGGCTATAGACGTTGAAGAGGGGTTCGGAACGACTGGAGTCTTCCACCCCCCAGCCATTCCTGTACAACCTTCACAAGTGGGTGGACGTCTACAAAGCTACTGGGAGAACTGGGGAATTCTTCAAGATCCATTTGTATCCAACATCCTAAGAGACGGATATCGCATACAACTACAAGCAGCTCCGCCATTAACAGACAAACCTCAGAAGTTGGACTTTACAACCCATCGGACAGAGAGGCTACGAGAAGCGGTCACATCTCTACTAGAGAAGGAAGCCATAGAAGTGGTGGACCAGGACCAGATCTCACCAGGATTCTACTCCCCAGTTTTCCTAGTGCCAAAGAAAAACTCCAAAGAAAAGTTCCGACTAATCTACAACATGAGGGCATTCAACAGAGATTATCTACGCAAACCACCAAGGTTCAGCATGATTCATCTACCACAACTACTACATCTCGTCCGTTCGATGGACCACATGGCCAGCATAGATCTACAGGACGCATACCTGCATATTCCTATACATCCGGACTCAAGGAAGTACCTGAGGTTTATACTGGACGAACGACACTACCAATGGAAGGTCCTGCCATTTGGAATATCATCGGCCCCCTGGTTGTTTACAAGAGTGACGAAAACCCATAGTCACATACCTACATCATCGAGGTCTACGCAGTGCGTTCTACCTAGACGACAGGATTCAAGTTCATCAAGATCCCAATCATCTCAGACTACAGCTGGACTTCACCATCAGGCTGCTCACACAACTGGGGTGGCTAGTGAATCTCTTAAAGTTGGACCTAGAACCTACACAGGACCTGCAGTTCCTAGGAATCCGGTTCATCGCAACAGAAAACTGCATAGCAGTACCAGAGGACCGATGGCTAAAGATACAACAGACGATATCGCAAGCTCTACTCTCTCCGTGGCCACTACGACAGTGGCAGAGTCTCTTGGGTCTCCTCACGTCAGCACAAGACATGACACGCAGAGGGAGACCACAACTACGCCCACTACAGGTCTTCGTGAATGCTCATCTGGACGACCTGGACCCCTTCGGACTCCCGGACGGACTAAAACCATATCTACTATGGTGGACCCAGAGATCGAATGTTTGCGGAGGCCCCTATTTAGCAGAGCCGGAGTGCAAGACGCATCTCTACGCAGACGCATCTCTCCAAGGATGGGGAGCACACCTCGACAACGAAGTGTCAGCTTGGACATGGACCATAGAGGAGAAAGATCTGCACATCAACATGCTGGAAATGAAAGCAGTGATAAACGCCATACTCCACTGGACCAGCATTCTGGAGAATGCTCAACTGACAGTACATACGGACAACGTACATACGGCGTTCTACATAAACAGACAAGGATCAACAAGGTCGGCGAACCTTCTGGACCTCTGCTTTCAACTGTTCAGCATAACAGACAACCTGAACATCCACATAAGAGCATGCCACATTCCAGGAGCCAAGAATGTGATAGCAGACGCACTATCCCGTCCAACGCAGCCATCCCCAACAGAATGGATGCTACATCCAGAGATCTTCAAGCAGATCATACAAGAGATGGGAGCGCCACTAATAGACCTATTTGCCACAAGATTCAACAATCAACTCATAACATTCGTCTCACCAATACCAGATCCACAAGCATGGGCAACGGACGCTCTAAGCAGCTCCTGGGAAGGACTAAACGCTTATGCGTTTCCACCACCAGCTCTAATACCGAGGGTGTTGCAGAAAATCAGTCAGGCGAAGATCCTACAACTGATTTTGGTCGCGCCTTAACAGCCAGCGGGAATATGGTTCCCCATTCTCATACAAGAACTAGGACCGCCTCAACTGCAACTACCAGAGTGGTCGAATCTGCTAGTACATCCTCACACAAAGCAAGCACACGGCTACCCAGAGGTGTTCCGGCTACACGTGTGGACTGTATCAAGGCGTGCTTGAACAAGAGAGGATATTCCGCCAGGGCAGTGAAAGCAGTCACACTAGCTCTACGCAAGTCTACACGCAACTTGTACGACGACAAGTGGCGACGATTCGAGACATACGCTTTGAAGAACGGCTTCACAGCCATAAAAGCGACACACCCTCAAGTGGCGGACTACCTTTGTCACCTAAGACAACGAAGCGGTTAAAAGGGTCAACACTCTCAACATACCTAGCGGCATTGAGCTCAGTTATCACCATGAGGACGAGTGCAAAACTGGACGAAAGTACCAGAGTTACTGGCCTTGCTACGCTCTTTTAAACTGGAGGACCAACAACAGAGATTTAAAGCTCCGGCGTGGGACCTCAACGTAGTTTCTCACGACATCTCACCAGTGACGTTTACGAACCATTAGATAAGACATCTTTTGAGTTCTTGACGCAGAAGACGCTGTACCTGATCGCCTTAGCAACAGCAGCAAGGATGTCGGAAATACATGCTTTCGACTTTGAGAGAACACGGTTTGATGAAAATCAAAACATCGTGCATATGGGACTGAGATGGGACTTCATAGCAAAGAATCAACTGCCAGGTCAACTGGACAGACAGTTCCACATCCCAGCACTATCATCAGTCCTTGGACCACAGGATACGCACGACCTATCCTTATGCCCAGTGAGAGCATTGAAAGTCTACCTACTAAGATCTAAGACCAGGAGACGAAAATTCAAGCGTCTTTTCGTCCCGAGGTCTCCCACACTACGATATCTATCTGGATCAGAACTGTCATACTACGGGCCTACAAAGCAGCAGGACTTGATCCTCCAAGAGCCTCCAACCCACATGAAGTTAGAGCTCTGGCGTCAACACTCGCTGTACACGGGAATTGCTCTATCAGGACGATAATGGAGGGCTGCTTCTGGAAATCGGACATGGTGTTTGCCAACCATTACCTGAGGGACATCGCCACCGAGGACGTCTCCGGCATTCACCATTTCGGCCCACTTGTTGTTGCACAACAATTGACAGTCCCTCAAAGGCGCTGAGACGGAGTCTCGCCCTTTTATCACATGACTTGCAAAAGCCTACACTCAGGAGAGTTCAGCTTATAGTCTATATGCACGTCTAAGACAGACTAGCATAAGTGATGTGACCCAGTACTTGTAAGGATACTCGTACAGGAAAGGGTCGCTTCTCCACTTGATGCTCGCATCAAGAGATGGAGTTGCAAAATCCACATAAAATGTTAACAGAAGCAAGGACCAAAAGTTAACAATTGTGGTCCCCCCATCAGAGAAAGCTGGAAGTAAAGGGTTACAGCAGCAGCAGAGCATAGCAGTAAAATAGAAGTTCCCATAGGGGGGGTATGCAAGATGTAAATCACTACATGGAATCCAGAAGTGGCTTGACCCACCACCAAATCCGACGGATTCTACAAGCAAAAATACACATGAGTCAGGATAAGGAAAAATATATAATTTTCTGAATAAAATTCATATTTTATACTTATCCTGACTCATGAGGTAAGCCCTCCCAACCTCCCCGCTAGACACTTTTGGATTTCCCTTTAAATTAAAGTGTCGGGCTATTAATTCGGAGAGAGTGAAGCGTGGGAAGATGGGTGGCGCTGTTTTCCCGCCAAAACGGCGAGGGAGATAACTCGTGGTGAGTAGTGATTTTACATCTGTTTTATTGAAGGGAGCTTCAATAAGGAGATACAAGTGTTCCACTAACGTTCGGGAAGGAAAGGAGACAAGCAAAAATACATGAGTCAGGATAAGTATAAAATATCAATTTTATTCAGAAAATTACATATTTGAAGAAATGTAAGTCATCACGTGTGTGTCAATACTAAAAGTTGGTGATCTTTTGGCAGCAATGTTGCAGAAGCACTGGTGATCAAAGGCTTTGCTACAGTGTTGCGGTACCGGCAGGACGATGACCAACGCTCCTCCCACTATGATGTCCTGCTTGCAGCAGAGGCCCGTGCAGAGAAAAAAGGAGTGGGGCTACACTCCAAGAAGGAGAAGCCAGTTCACAGAGTGGCAGATATATCAGGGGTGAGTAGTTGCCAGGACGACGGTGGTATTCAGCAGTGACTTAACTCCTTTTGTGATTTCTGTGATGAAATTACCCCCAACTGAGTATGTGTTGTGATTTCTGTGATGAAATTACCCCCCAACTGAGTATGTGTTGTGATTTCTGTGATGAAATTACCCCCCAACTGAGTATGTGTTGTGTTTTCTGTGATGAAATTACCCTCCAACTGAGTATGTGTTGGGTTTTCAGGATGTAACCAAGGCCAAACAGTTCCTGCCTTTCCTTCAGCGTGCTGGTCGATCTGAAGCAGTGGTAGAGTTTGTGGCTAGCGGGTCCCGACTCCGACTGTACATCCCCCGGGAAACATGTCTTGTTACATTCCTTATTTCAGGTAATATCATGTTGAAATATGTTGATTCTTCAAGGGTCGGCTGAGACGTTTTGAGTCAAATCACTCAGCATGTGTAGTAATCCTTAAATGTATTGAGTGTAATGCTTTTTCATCCTTACTCTTGTAAGGAAGTGGCAGAAGTAAAGTAATTGGCAGCCACAGTCAATTAGAAGTTATGACCAAGTCTTTTCTGCCAACTCTTGTATGTCAAATCCACTGTGTACAATGTATGTGTGCATGTAGGATCAAATCCAGGCACCTTTAGTCCAGTACAGTCTAGTCATGTTTATATGTGAATACCAAAATCGGCTCCCATTTTGATAAGGTAGGACTGAGAGTGATCTCCCTTCACTAATGATTATCCAAATACCTGATGCCAGTGTTATAATTGTAGGTATCTCCTGCCCTCGTGGATCTCGACCTTTGCCTGGAGGACAGATGGCACCTGCCGAACCATATGGAGAAGATGCCCATAGCTTCACCAAGGAGTTGTGTCTTCAGAGAGAGGTGTGTAGGTCATGTAAGGCTGGCTGTGTTGATGAATTCTTGGGTTTATAGATTTTATTGAAAAGTAAAATTTCTTTGTCTATCATTAACATTGTTTCATGTTGATCGATTTTTTTTTCTTTCTGAAAATGGAATTAAAAACAAAACATTAAGTGGATTTTATGATGATGTGGAAGTGCCATCTTCATTTTAGCCGTATCTATATGGGATGTTCACTGTGTTTATAGACTCTACTATGCATTTTATGAAACAATGCTTGCAGTGATGTCATGTTTAATGTTGGGTCATCTAACATCATCCCTAACATGGCCAGGATGGCAGCCATACAATACCTGTTGGGTTTTGTTACATCACGCAAACTGTTATTATTCAAAATACTGTCAAAATAAGCTGGTATATACAGTACTTAGTAACGAAACTCAACACTTGTATTCAATTATTGTGTGATCTTGTAAAGTTGGCAAGTTATTCTTGGCACTTTGAAGTGCATCCTTGGTTCTGTAAACATCATCTCTTCAGAGAACTGGGGACCAATGAAGCTGATACTTCACATGCTTGTTCCTGCCAATGATCACGCCTAAATTTGTCCAAGATGTTATTAAGAGACATGATATTGATGACACTGTATTTAAGAAAGTGTATGTGGCATCAGGTGGAAGTGGAAGTGGAGGCTATTGACAAGGGAGGCAACTTCATTGGCTGGCTTTTTGTGGATGGCATCAACTTGTCTGTAGCTCTAGTTGAAAATGGTCTGGCATCTGTGCACTTCACTGCTGAGCGCAGCAACTTCTACAAAACACTACAGGTGGCTGAGGAGAAAGCCAAGAAAGACAAGCTCAAAGTAAGTCCCACATCATCTACATATATCATCTTCATTTGAAGTATTTCAGCATTATGGATGTAAAACACTGATACATGAGCACTACTGAAAGACACACAAAGATATATTTACTAGATATATGTCTTTTTATTTTTCCTTATCCTGGCTCATGCTAAATGCTTGTCTCCTTCTTCTTGCGAATGATAGTGGAACACTTGAAATCCCTTGAAGTTCCCTTCTAAAAAGCGGACGTAAAATCATCACTCACCCACGAGTAGTCTCCCTTGCCTCCCTTTGGCGCCCTTTTGTATCACATGACCAGCCATGTTTGTCACTCTCTCCTCTTCGCCCTTGAGGACGGCTGTGAGAGCACCTGGGTCCCTATACGGCTTTTAGGATTGTATTCTACTATATGGTTTGAAATTTGATCTAAATTAGTCGTTTGACATGTTTTTTCATCGTGTTTACATTTGATGAAAACTTGTATTCGTTGTAGGTACCGGCTGTCTGCGGCTGATCCACATTTATTATGTCCTGATTGCACTACTTCATGATCTTTCAGCTCTCGCTGTTAACATTGTCTGATTTTAACGGTTTTTGAATTTAATAACTACCTTTTTTCCATTCATAGACGTGCAAAGGACTGGGTAAGAAGGTATTCACAAGTCATGTCTAAATCGTGTGATTGCGCCGATAACCGTGTGTTAACTACTGCTGCCAAGGTTCATAATTCCAGTGAATTGCCGAGCGTTTTACAGGGGCAGGTCGCTGTTCCAGTGATGAACTCTGGAGCTAATAAGAGATCGTCGTCAACGTAGCTGACCCCATCGCAGACGAAGAAGACTAGATCTTCAACGCAGAAGAAGAAGGCTACTACCCCTAAGACTTCATCGAAGTCTCTACACAGCTCTACGCAGAAGACGAGATCCTTCTCTGCCGAGATTGTACCTCCGGAAGAAGCAGATGTGTATGATGATCCCCCCCATCATCATACCTGAAGTCACAGTTGTCAGCAAGAAGACGAAGCCTGCTTCTACAGCTACATCGGCAACTTTATCAGCGCAGACATTGACAGAAGACTATCTATCAACGCAGACATCGGGTACCAGAGATAGCAGCAGCGTCAACTCTTCACAAGTGCAGCGTGCCTTAGAAGACGCCTCATCGTTGTCAGAAGCATCATCAACCCTGCAGCAGTCTCTTCAGACATCGCAGAACTTCAACCCGGGTCTGTTTATGCAACAGTTTACAGACCAGATGATGTCGATGATAGAACATCACTTCACGCAGGAGAAAGTTGCTACGAAGACCACTACGGTGACTACTAGCCTGCGTGAAGATTCAGCAGTCTCTCCAACGCACTTGGAAGAAGAGGGAAGCCTGCGCGAAGGCTCACGCACCCGACGATCTACCCCATCTGAAGTTAAGAGCTTGGACAATGCCACTAACATCAGCTCAGCCTTAGACGTCCCTGAAGGAGCCACTAAGAAGTCTCCATGCAGAAGCAGATCAAAGCGTTCTCCGAGCCCTACAGACGTCGTATATACGGGTCGTCATCACCTTCGGAATCAGACGCACATCGGGAACCTGCACGCAGGCAATCCACATCTCATAGAAGGGGAACTTCGCCTAAGAATCAACCTTCACGAAGGCCTAGAGAAAGATCTCAAGACTCCAGGAAGGATACACGATCACATCGGGATCGTTCACCTGCGCGCAGTTCGTCATACAGATCTTCATACAGAGACTCACGTCATCGTAGATCGTCAGATCGAGAGATATCTAAATCAGAGGAAGAAGGTGAAGTCATATTCTCCGATACGGAAGTAACCTCATGGATTGCTAATGGCCTGGACCTAGCATCACCTTCCAAGGACACAGACGAAGCGTTTACATACAAGATGTCCAACGATGATTTCGACACACTCACCTTTCCGCCTATCGACCCGATATAAGTACCGGACAGCCTCAGCTCAGCCTTTGATAAGGCTACCAAGTTCCAGAATCAGCATATCCCGACATTCAACGCCAGGAGATTCCCCCTACATCACATGGAACCCTTCCTGAAGGCACCAGAGATTGATGAGGACTATAAGATCATCAACGACTCCCGCTTACAAGATAGAGGACAAGAAGCTAGCGCAACTGGATACGACTACTAGATGTACATTCTTCGGACTAGCCAGGTCTAGGGCTATCAACAAAGCGCTCATCTCGACCGGATGATATATTCTGCTCTACTGACTCAGAAAAAGGACCGCCAGTTTATGTCGGAGCATCTAGCATCCACATCAGCGGGCCTGACGCACCTGAGGAGGCAAGGATTATTGTCATCGTGTACCTGGAGTGAGCGGTCCTTATACAGAGCCCCATGGTCAGCATCATCCATCTTCGGAGGAGAAGTTGCCAAAGAGGTTACACATGAATCAAGGGAGGTCATGATGATGACTTGGCAAATGTGATTCGCCAGACGTCCCAGCGCTACTCCAACAAATCTAAGTTTGCAGGAGTCCAAAGAGCCAGAGAAAAGAAGTATTCCAACTCGAGAGGGGTAAAATGTTCTTTTCGTCGCCCAACCGGAGCCCCCAGAAGTAACCCCGGAAGAGACCTAGCACCCAGGGGTGCCAGGGGAACCAAGCGCTGAAGGACAGGTCTGGAATGACTGGAGTCTTCCACCCCCAGCTGTTCCTTTACAACCTTCGACAGTGGGTGGACGTCTTCAATGGTACTGGGAAAATTGGGGAATACTACAGGACGACTACGTATCCCAGATACTACGCAGAGGATACAAGATACAGTTGGAAGCCACCCCGCCGCTTACAAGCAACCCGATGGCCTTCAACTACGCAGCCGACCAGACAGAGAAACTGGACGACGCAATCAAGGCTCTACTCGACAAAGAGGCAGTAGAAGAGATAGATCAAGATCTCATCACGCCCGGGTTTTACTCCCCAATTTTCCTGGTACCAAAGAAGAATTCCAAGGAGAAATTTCGGCTCATCTACGACATGAGGAAGTTCAACTGGGAGTATCTACGCAGACCAGCAAAATTCAAAATGATACATCTTCCTCAGCTTCGACATCTCGTTCATCCAGCAGACTACCTTGCCAGCAAAGATCTGCAAGATGCATACCTCCACATCCCGATACATCCAGACTCAAGGAAGTACCTACGATTCCTGTTCAACGGACATCACTTCCAGTGGAAGGTTCAAGCTCATCACGATCCCAGTCAACTCAGACTGCAACTAGACTTCACCATCAGGCTTCTCACTCAGTTAGGATGGCTGCTAAATCTCCTCAAGTCGAAACTGGAGCCAAAACAAGATCTTCAATTTCTAGGAATACGACTCATCACGCCGGTGAATCGCATAGTTGTCCCATGCATGCATCATTACAAAGATGGGGTGCCCACCTCAACTACGAAGTGGCAGCAGGGAAGTGGTGGAGTCAGGATCAGAATCTGCACATCAACCTGTTGGAGATGAAAGCAGTGATCAACGCTTTACATCACTGGTCCAGGGTACTAAAAAACGCAAGGCTCACAGTCCACACGGACAACTCCACAGTAGCGTTCTACATCAACAAACAAGGATCAACAAGATCAACAAGTCTGCTACAACTCGGTTTTCTCCTGTTCAGCATCGTCGACGACCTGAACATCTACATGAAGGCATGCCACATTCCAGGAGCAAAGAATGTCATAGCAGACGCCCTATCTCGTCCACTACAACCATCCCTGACAGAATGGATGTTACACCCAGAAGTGTTCCAGTTCATCATACAGACAGTAGGATCTCCACTGATAGACCTGTTTGCAACAAAGTTCAACAAGCAATTACCAACATTCTTCTCACCGATTCTGGATCCTCAGGCATGGGCAACAGACGCTTTAAGCATCTCATGGGAAGGACTAAACGCTTACGCGTTTCCACCTCAAGCACTATTACCACAAGTAATACAGAAAATCAAGCAGACGACAACGCTGCAACTGATTTTGGTCGTGCCCTATTGGCCAGTGAGGGTATGGTTTCCCGTCCTCATACAAGAACTCGGAAGTCCAACCCTGAAACTACCAGAGTGGTCGAACCTGCTCGTCCATCCACACACCAAGCAAGCTCATGGGAAACCGACACTGTTCCAGCTACACGCCTGGAGCGTATTACAGCTTCCCTGAGGACTAGAGGGTACTCCGCCAGAGCAGCGAAAGCAGTGACACTAGCTCTACGCAGATCAACTCGCAACTTGTACAATGACAAGTGGCAGAGATTTGAACAGTATGCAACGAGGAAAGGCTTGACAGCGGTAAAGGCAACCCATCCTCAAGTGGCGGAATACCTGTGTCATTTGCGACAGACCAGACACTTAAAAGGTTCAACACTCTCAACGTACCTGGCTGCTCTCAGCACAGTTATCACCATGAAGATGGGTGTCAAGCTGACCAAAGTACCAGAGATACTGGCACTTCTACGCTCGTTCAAGTTGGAAGACCAACAAAAGAAATTCAAGGCTCCTGCCTGGGATCTCAATGTAGTTCTACAACATCTCACCAGTGACGCCTACGAGCCTCTAGAACGGACATCCTTTGAACTACTGACACAGAAAACACTGTTCCTGATCGCCCTAGCAACAGCAGCACGGATGTCAGAAATACATGCTCTGGACTTTGAACGAACACGATTTGAATCAAGATGTCGTGACATCGTTCATCTAGGACTGAGATGGGACTTTATTGCCAAGAACCAACTGCCCGGCCAGCCTGACAGACAGTTCCACATCCCAGCACTCTCTACAGTCCTTGGGCCACAGGATTTATCCTTGGGCCCTGTCAGAGCACTAAAAATCTACCTACAAAGGACAAAAACAAGGAGACGAAAATTCAAGAGCCTATTCATCCCCTTATCCACTGAGACGCCCATGGAAGTTTCACGGACACCGATATCGATATGGATGAGAGCCGTTATACTAAGGGCCTACATAGCAGCAGGACTTGAGCCTCCACGAGCCTCCAATCCCCACGAAGTCAGAGCCCTGGCGTCTACACTTGCTCTGCATGGAAACTGCTCGATAACAACTATAATGGAGGTCTGCTTTTGGAAATCGGACAATTGCAAACCACTACTTCAGAGACATTGCCACCGAAGACATCTCAGGCATTCACCAGATTGGGCCACTTGTTGTAGCACAACAACTAACAGTACCACAAAGGCACTGAGAAAAATCTCACCCCTTTATCACGTGACTTGTGAAACCAACGCTCTGGAGAGCAAATGGTTAAAGTCCATGCACACGTCTAGGACAGGCTAGCATGAGTGATAGACCCTGTACTTGTATAGGACATACTCGTACATGAAGAAGGGTTGCATCTCCACTTGATGCGCGCATCAAGAGATGGAGTTGCAATAGATAACTAATGGAACATTAGTATATCTAAAATCCACACAAAAATGTCAGGAGAAGTTTCGGAAGAAATCTGACAAGTTGTGGTTCCCCCCACAGACTCATCAGAGGAAGTTGAAAGAACAGAATCATCAGCTGTGCCGTCATAAGTTCCCATGGGGGGTAATACAGGACGTAAATCAACAGCCAGTGAATCCAGGAAGTGGCCTGACCCACCACCAATTCCGACAGATTCTGCAAGCATTTAGCATGAGTTAGGATAAGGAAAGATATGTAATATTTTGACTAAATTTGATATTTTATACTTATCCTGACTCATGAGGTTAGCCCTCCCAACCTTCCCTCTCAGGGCACTCAGGATTTCCCTGTAAATCCGGGTGTCGGGCAGACATACATACGGAGAGAGTGACAAACATGGCTGGTCATGTGATACAAATGGGCGCCAAAGGGAGGCAAGGGAGACTACTCGTGGGTGAGTGATGATTTTACGTCCGCTTTTTAGAAGGGAACTTCAAGGGATTTCAAGTGTTCCACTATCATTCGCAAGAAGAAGGAGACAGGCATTTAGCATGAGTCAGTATAAGTATAAAATACCAATTTTAGTCAGAAAATTACATTTATATGGAAATGCAGACCTCTCAACTGAAGAAAATCTGAATATCTTCAAACATGTCCATCATTACATCAATCAAACTAAACGATTCCTCTGTTCATACTAATCTGTTATATTCTCAAACTCAAGATCTCTCATGTATATCTTCTCTGTTTCTCAGGTAAATATAATTGTTGTAAATATTGGGAGAGGGCATTATTAAGTTGGATAACTTGTGCCCAATCCTTTTCTTCAATGAATAAAATATGTTTAAATCAGACACACAAAGCTACAACCTGATTATTGTTGCAGATGTGGGCCAACTTTGTTGAGCCAACTAAACAGGAGGTAGTGGAAGAGCCTGCAGACAGGAAGGTTACATACAAGAACATCATTGTAACAGAGGTCAACGATTCTCTCTCATTCTTTGCTCAAACAGTAGAAAAAGGTTAGTATGAAGGAAACTCCATTTACCCTGGTTCACACTGGTTATATTTCTTTGTTCGCACCATACCTGTGCTTGTGGGTAGCAAATGATCTGTAACTCACTCAATACTAAGCCATTCTTTGAAGGTGTGTGAGCTGTTGTTAAGGGACTCTCCGATTCCGGGCTGTATGTAAATGTGTGTCGTGTGTTCAGGGCAGAATGTAAATGTGTGTCATGTCTTCAGGGCAGCATGTAAATGTGTGTCGTGTGTTCAGGGCAGAATGTAAATGTGTTGTGTGTTCAGGGCAGAATGTAAATGTGTGTCATGTCTTCAGGGCAGAATGTAAATGTGTGTCATATGTTCAGGGCAAAATGTAAATGTGCGTCATGTCTTCAGGGCAGAATGTAAATGTGCGGCGTGTGTTCAGGGCAGAGTGTAAATGTGTGTTATGTCTTCAGGGCAGAATGTAAATGTGTGTCATGTCTTCAGGGCAGAATGTAAATGTGTGTCATGTCTTCAGGGCGGAGTGTAAATGTGTGTCATGTCTTCAGGGCAGAATGTAAATGTGTGTCATGTCTTCAGGGCAGAGTGTAAATGTGTGTCATGTCTTCAGGGCAGAGTGTAAATGTGTGTCATGTCTTCAGGGCAGAGTGTAAATGTGTGTCATGTCTTCAGGGCAGAGTGTAAATGTGTGTCGTGAGTTCAGGGCAGAGTGTAAATGTGTGTCATGTCTTCAGGGCAGAGTGTAAATGTGTGTCATGTCTTCAGGGCAGAGTGTAAATGTGTGTCATGTCTTCAGGGCAGAGTGTAAATGTGTGTCATGTCTTCAGGGCAGAGTGTAAATGTGTGTTATGTCTTCAGGGCAGAGTGTAAATGTGTGTCATGTCTTCAGGGCAGAATGTAAATATATGTCATGTGTTCAGGGCAGAATGTTAATGTGTGTCATGTGATGTTCAGGGCCTGAGCTGGAGAAGATGATGGAAGAACTTCGTAGTGAAATGGAGAACAACCCACCTCTCAAAGGAGCATACACACCAAAGAAGGGAGACAGGTGTGCAGCCAGGTTCTCACAAGATGACCAGTGGTGAGTCTGCCCCATCCACCCTGTTTTAGACCACTGACTTACATCTATGTCCCCCCCACATAAGCCACCTGTGTTTCTGTACATCCATGTTTTCCCAACATGACCCACCTGTGTTACTGTACATCCATGTTCTAGCAACATAATCCACCAGTGTTACTGTACCCCATGTTCTAGCAACATAACCCACCTGTGTTACTGTACATCCATGTTCTAGCAACATAATCCACCTGTGTTACTGTACCCCATGTTCTAGCAACATAACCCACCTGTGTTACTGTACATCCATGTTCTAGCAACATAATCCACCTGTTACTGTACCCCATGTTCTCCAAAATAACCCACCTGTGTTACTGTACCCCATGTTCTAGCAACATAATCCACCTGTGTTTCTGTACATCTATGTTCTCCCAACATAATCCACCTGTGTTTGTGTACATCCATGTTCTCCCAACATAATCCACCTGTGTTACTGTACATCCATGTTCTCCCAACATAATCCACCTGGGTTTCTGTACATCCATATTCTAGCAACATAATCCACCTTTGTTACTGTACCCCATGTTCTAGCAGCATAATCCACCTGTGTTTCTGTACATCCATGTTCTCCCAACATGACCCACCTGTGTTACTGTACCCCATGTTCTCCCACATAACCCACCTGTGTTACTGTACCCCATGTTCTAGCAACATAATCCACCTGTGTTACTGTACATCCATGTTCTCCCAACATAATCCACCTGTGTTTCTGTACATCTATGTTCTCCCAACATAATCCACCTGTGTTTGTGTACATCCATGTTCTCCCAACATAATCCACCTGTGTTACTGTACATCCATGTTCTCCCAACATAATCCACCTGGGTTTCTGTACATCCATGTTCTAGCAACATAATCCACCTGTGTTTCTGTACATCCATGTTCTCCCAACCCACCTGTGTTACTGTACCCCATGTTCTCTCCATAATCCACCTGTGTTACTGTACATCCATGTTCTCCCAACATAATCCACCTGTGTTACTGTACATCCATGTTCTCCCAACATAATCCACCTGTGTTACTGTACATCCATGTTCTCCCAACATAATCCACCTGTGTTTGTGTACATCCATGTTCTCCCAACATAATCCACCTGTGTTACTGTACATCCATGTTCTCCCAACATAATCCACCTGGGTTTCTGTACATCCATGTTCTCCCAACATGACCCACCTGTGTTACTGTACCCCATGTTCTCCCACATAACCCACCTGTGTTACTGTACCCCATGTTCTAGCAACATAATCCACCTGTGTTACTGTACATCCATGTTCTCCCAACATGACCCACCTGTGTTTCTGTACATCCATGTTCTCCCAACATGACCCACCTGTGTTACTGTACATCCATGTTCTCCCAACATGACCCACCTGTGTTACTGTACCCCATGTCCTAGCAACATAATCCACCTGTGTTTGTGTACATCCATATTCTACCAACATAATCCACCTGTGTTACTGTACCCCATGTTCTAGCAGCATAATCCACCTGTGTTTCTGTACATCCATGTTCTCCCAACATGACCCACCTGTGTTACTGTACCCCATGTTCTCCCACATAACCCACCTGTGTTACTGTACCCCATGTTCCAGCAACATAATCCACCTGTGTTACTGTACATCCATGTTCTCCCAACATGACCCACCTGTGTTTCTATACATCCATGTTCTCCCAACATGACCCACCTGTGTTTCTGTACATCCATGTTCTCCCAACATGACCCACCTGTGTTACTGTACATCCATGTTCTCCCAACATGACCCACCTGTGTTTCTGTACATCCATGTTCTAGCAACATGACCCACCTGTGTTTCTGTACATCCATGTTCTCCCAACATGACCCACCTGTGTTACTGTACATCCATGTTCTAGCAACATAATCCACCTGTGTTACTGTACCCCATGTTCTAGCAACATAACCCACCTGTGTTACTGTACATCCATGTTCTAGCAACATAATCCACCTGTGTTACTGTACCCCATGTTCTAGCAACATAACCCACCTGTGTTACTGTACATCCATGTTCTAGCAACATAATCCACCTGTGTTACTGTACCCCATGTTCTCCAAAATAACCCACCTGTGTTACTGTACCCCATGTTCTAGCAACATAATCCACCTGTGTTTCTGTACATCTATGTTCTCCCAACATAATCCACCTGTGTTACTGATCATCCATGTTCTCCTAACATAATCCACCTGTGTTTCTGTACATCCATGTTCTCCCAACATAACCCACCTGTGTTGTACATCTGTACATCCATGTTCATAGCAACATAATCCACCTCTAGCAACATAACCCACCTGTACACTGTACCCCATGTTCTAGCAACATAACCCACCTGTGTTACTGTACATCCATGTTCTAGCAACATAATCCACCTGTGTTCTCCAACATAACCCACCTGTGTTACTGTACAACCCATGTTCTAGCAACATAATCCACCTGTTTCTGTTTCTGTACCCCATGTTACTGTACATCCATGTTCTAGCAACATAATCCACCTGTGTTTCTGTACATCCATGTTCTAGCTAGCAACATAATCCACCTGTGTTTCTCCCCCATGTTCTGTAATCCCCTGTGTTCATGTTCTAGCAACATAATCCACCTGTGCTACTGTACCCCATGTTCTAGCAACATAATCCACCTGTGTTTCTGTACCCCATGTTCTAGCAACATAATCCACCTGTGTTTCTGTACATCCATGTTCTAGCAACATAACCCACCTGTGTTTCTGTACATCCATGTTCTCCCAACATGACCCACCTGTGTTACTGTACCCCATGTTCTCCCAACATGACCCACCTGTGTTACTGTACCCCATGTTCTCCCACATAACCCACCTGTGTTACTGTACCCCATGTTCTAGCAACATAATCCACCTGTGTTACTGTACATCCATGTTCTCCCAACATGACCCACCTGTGTTACTGTACCCCATGTTCCCCCAACATGACCCACCTGTGTTTCTGTACATCCATGTTCTCCCAACATGACCCACCTGTGTGTCTGTACATCCATGTTCTCCCAACATGACCCACCTGTGTTACTGTACCCCATGTCCTAGCAACATAATCCACCTGGGTTTCTGTACATCCATATTCTAGCAACATAATCCACCTTTGTTACTGTACCCCATGTTCTAGCAGCATAATCCACCTGTGTTTCTGTACATCCATGTTCTCCCAACATGACCCACCTGTGTTACTGTACATCCATGTTCTCCCAACATGACCCACCTGTGTTACTGTACCCCATGTTCTAGCAACATAATCCACCTGGGTTTCTGTACATCCATGTTCTCGCAACATAATCCACCTGTGTTACTGTACATCCATGTTCTCCCAACATGACCCACCTGTGTTACTGTACATCCATGTTCTCCCAACATAACCCACCTGTGTTACTGTACCCCATGTTCTAGCAACATAATCCACCTGTGTTACTGTACATCCATGTTCTAGCAACATAATCCACCTGTGTTACTGTACCCCATGTTCTAGCAACATAACCCACCTGTGTTACTGTACATCCATGTTCTAGCAACATAATCCACCTGTGTTACTGTACATCCATGTTCTAGCAACATAATCCACCTGTGTTTCTGTACCCCATGTTCTAGCAACATAATCCACCTGTGTTACTGTACCCCATGTTCTAGCAACATAATCCACATGTGTTTCTGTACCCCATGTTCTAGCAACATAATCCACCTGTGTTACTGTACATCCATGTTCTAGCAACATAGACCACCTGTGTTTTTGTACATCCATGTTCTCCCAACATAATCCACCTGTGTTATTGTACATCCATGTTCTCCCAACATAATCCACCTGTGTTTCTGTACATCCATGTCCTCTCGACATGAATGACTGACAATACTGTACACTTTGTGCTTCCCCACTTGAATCCCTGTACACTTCTGCGGTCCAAACCATGAACCCCTGACATCACCACCTGTGTTTCTGTACATCCATGAACCCCTGACATCACTGTACACTTTGTGTCCAATGACTGACAATACTGTACACTTTGTGCTTGTCCCCCACCTTGAATCACTGTACACCTTTTGAACCCCTGACCCATCACTGTACACTTTGTGTCCACCCCACTTGAACCCTGACATCACTGTACACTTTGTGTCCACCCCACTTGAACCCCTGACATCACTGTACACCCCACTTGAATCCCTGACATCACTGTACACTGTGTCCACCCCACTTGAACCCCTGACATCACTGTACACTGTGTCCACCCCACTTGAACCCCTGAGGGCGGTGGGGTAGCCTAGTGGTTAAAGCGTTGGCTCGTCACGCCGAAGGCCCGGGTTCGATTCCCCACATGGGCACAATGTGTTAAGCCCATTTCTGGTGTCCCCTGCCGTGATATTGCTGGAATATTGCTAAAAGCGGCGTAAAACTAAACTCAGTCTGTCAGTTGAACCCCTGACATCACTGTACACCCCACTTGAACCCCTGATATCACTGTACACTGTGTCCACCCCACTTGAACCCCTGGCATCACTGTACACTTTGTGTACACCCCATATGAATCCCTGATATCACTGTACACACCCTGAGTCCATCTAATGTATATCTACAAAAATATACTATGAAACACGGTCGTGTCATTCGTGTCGTCAGTTAACGGAGATGGTTTTCTTCCAGGTATCGGGCTAAAGTAGAGAAAGTGGAATCCAACGACCGAGTGACTGTCTTGTACATCGATTATGGCAATGTAAGTTGACAGGAATATAGAGAAAATTTGGGTTATAACGAATTCCAGATTATTATAACCATTATTCGTTATAAGCATTTGGACCAAAATATACAGCAAGTGTCCCTGACCAACCGTCAGTTGGTTATAATCATGTTCATTACAAATGTAGTTTACTGTGTGTGTATTCCCATGCAGTGTTTGATACATATATTTGTTGTCCCCACAGAGAGAGGTGACATCGTCGACAGAGATTGCAGCCCTGCCAGGGAGTTACCAGTCAATTCCCCCACAAGCCACAGAGTACATTCTGGCCTGTGTGGCCTTGCCAGATGATGTAAGTGACCAATTTTTCTCTTGCTAATTGATGCTTGTCAGTTTTACCAATTAATGATGTTCTTTGACAGCATTCTAGAAAAGCAAAATGTCTTACCTTTGCAGTGTAATTAAATAAACTGTTAAACCTCCTATGCTGATGCAACAACTCACCTTGTCACTTTCCCAAAATGTTTGCTGCAGGAGGATGCTAAGAATGAAGCCATGGATGCACTGTACTCTGACATCATCAACAAGCAGCTCATGCTCAACACAGAATACAAAGGACCACCAGATTATGTGACGCTTGTCACAGAGGCAAAAGAGGATATTGCACTTTGTCTCATTTCTAAAGGGTTCCTCCTTGTAGAGCCTCGGCGGGAACGTCGGCTGGCCAAGATTGTGTCTGACTACACTAAGGCACAGGAAAAGGCTAAATCACAGAGGGTAAGAAATTTCAAGACATTCATTTGTATTGTTAAACGCCATGTCATTGGTGATACAGGCAGTAGCAATATGTTGCTTCTGAGACTTCTTTCCTTTAAAGCCTTGGTAGATGTGACTTTATCCTCAATCCTTTGTGTTGGATTGTAGATGTTGTATATAATGTATGGTCATCTCTAGATTGTTTCCTAGCGTTGCTGCTGTTCGTTATGATTACTTTATTTTTGTAAGGTTTTGTCTGAATTTAGCCACAGGTGTGGATATTGTGTAGAAGTTGATTTAGTAGTTTCCAAATATCCTGTCATGTCATTCTCATGGCCACGTGGAATAAATAAGGTCATGAAACTCGCTTGAAGTTGGTGGTTACACTTTCATAAAAAGAATAAATGCTTTTGCTATTGAACTTTTTCACATTTTAACATGTCTTCAATGAATCATTCAGTTGCCTGTTACTGATGCATCTCAAGATGTTTTCCTAGTGTTGTGGCATATGATATGACACGTGCTGGGATGGGTGCTGCCAGTACTGATATAGAGTTGTTTCTGGTTGTGTTGCAGTTGAATCTGTGGCGCTATGGTGACTTCACTCAGGATGATGCCAAGGAGTTCGGCTATTCACGTTGAGCAGTCAACACTCTGCTCTTCACTCGCAGCAGTTACACAAGTGGAAGCTAGGATATATAAACAATTTTTAAGACAGAATATATTTACATTACATGCCAACTCCTATTTTCTATGATTTTGAATACCTAGTTTTCTCAATAATGGACACATGGCTTCAGTCAACATGATTCTACTTGCAAACTGAAAACTCATAACAAGCATCATGTGTCCAGAGTGAAAAAACATTTCACAGAATGTCAGACCTCATAACAGCAAAGTGTGACTTTGGCTTTAAAAGCATTTAATTACACAAGTGTATCCCTTGTTTAAAGCCAAGCTAAGGGCTCATCTCACTGTAGATTGTTCATATAGTCCTGTCATGGTAGTTGGTCTCATCCCGAGTGTCTGTTGCTGTGGGTCTACACAAAGGATACACTCCAGTATCAATCAAACTAGTAACTTAGAAAAACATTGGATTCTTTGCTGGGTGTGGAAACTCCAGTCAAGGGAATTGTATGTAAAAAATTTCCCAGCCTGTGAGTTATGTTTATCTTGGTGCCAAACCAGTTCTGTAGTTAATAGAGTACTGTTTACTATGTATTTGTTCTACATACTCCCTACTTATGCAAACCTCTGTCTGGAGTTGATCCACACCAGCCTGTACATCTCTGCCATTTCTGGCAAATACTGCCTTGTTGACAAGTCTGTTGGTATTATATATAATGCACACAAGCAACGTGCTCAAAATTATGACAGAATCTTCTTGAAAAATAAAACTATATTTATGAATGTTTCCCAAATCATTTGTCTGTTTTCTGTTGTATCACAACTGCTGGGTATTAGGAGCTGCAGATCTGATCAGTGGGATTTGCATTGTTATTCTGAAGTAAGCGGTAGGTCATCAGAACCGTTCTATGTAACCTCAGTCATTACAGGAGTGACTGTCTCACCATTGTTCTAAGCAGAGAGAATTGTTTCAGTCACAGATGAAGTGTATGAAGTGACAGGGGCCAAAAGTTGATATGGCTTAAAAACTGCTCAAACATTTTGGAACAAATTGTAAACATGCATGACTGATGTATAGAAAATATCCTTTACCCCTTCTATTTCTGGCCTTATCACTATTTTGTTAACCAAGCTATGCCGTCACCTCATACAACAAGTATGGTGTGTCAGAGACCAACAAAGTGTCCTGCCTGCACATCAGTTACCATTACTAGGTGCTGAACACTAGCATCTGGCTTTGATGAATCCTCAACACAAAAGAGTAGAGCTTTGTTGGAAAAAGCAACTTGCTGTACCAAATGGTCTCCCTTTAGTTGAAAATCCCTCTTGGATTATTGGGAGCTCCCTAAACCTGCTCACAAGAGCAAAGGGCCTGGTTTATGACTGTAATCTGTATGACTTTGACACAAAGATCTGTTACATTGTCATGGCAGCCCATGGATTCAATTCAATATGAGGAAAGCCCTCTGGGTTGGGACTGGAACCCCACTGGCTATGTCCTTTCCACTTACGAAGAAAGCTTTAGACATCCTAGTGCTTGATAAGGTTGTCTCAAGGATATGATGGGAGTGGCCTGGTGGTGGAAGTATTTACCCATCATGCCAAAGGCCAGGTTCATTTCCTTACAGGGATATAATGTATGAAGTCCATTTCCTTACAGGGGTATAATGTATGAAGTCCATTTCCTTACAGGGGTATAATGTATGAAGGCCATTTCTGGTGTAAGCTAAAACCATGAAACATCTGAATAGGTTATTTCAGCTGGTTAGCTTTGTGTCAGTCTCTGTGGCCTGGCAACACAGTCAATTGTGACTGTCCAGGAAGCACAGATTCTCCACCCTATTACTCACCATCCTAAGAAAGCTAACCATTACCACCAAATAATCAAAGAAAATATCAGGCACCTCCTGAAATATGCTCAAGTCACCACTGTGACATGTCGGTATAGACCAGGTAATCCAATGTCTACTGAAGATTGCCGTGACAACACAGTTACTGAACAGAGGAATTTGGGTGCTGTCCCATGTGAATTTGTGCCCTTTGCCTTGCTCAACCAGTGGAGCATCAACTCTGCCAGGTTATGGAGTATATCCAACTGAGAACACATCACAAACAAGCACATCACTTTTGACAGGGCTAACCTTTTCACTGTCAAATCACAATACTATCTTGACTTCACTGATTGTCGGGCCCACATTGTACACAATAACAGAACTCTCGCCTAGTGACGTGACTGCTATGAGGTGAGCACAGTGATCAGAGGCATCAAATGGAAGGGCCAATCTTCATGTCCTAAACCAGGGCACGATGACAGTTGTGCACTACAGGGATGACATTCTGGACGTGTACATGAGATATGCTGGTGCAATCAGACTTCATCCCCATAACAGGAACACACATCATGCCAGGATTATTGATGCAAACTTCCAAGAGCAGGAGGCCTTTGAAATGGCCAATCTGGCCACTAGACCAACACTTTCAAACACTTGGAATGAGCTGCAGATCGCCCTCATGACACCCAATCCTTCCAGGAACTCTACAGGAACTTGGCAAAGCTCTTACTGATAAGTGGAACAATCCTCCCAGGTTGATGACGGTGCCAGGCTGTCATTGTATCACAGTGCAATACTCAGATATCTGTTTATTCGGGCAGAGAAAGTGTTTTTGTGTTTTAATTTTGGTCAGATACAGTGTGATTTCTGATTTATTGGTCAAATTTCATTAGACATAAATATTACTTTCAGCAATAATACCTTTAACTTTTTAAACAGAATTCCAAATTTGATGAATAACTGTTTAATATGATCTTTACCAACCTTGTACAGTATATTTTAATATTCAATGATAGTTATTTACTGATTTCACAAGTAAGTTCTTTACAAATTTCTGAGGTCTAAGCCAGATTTACACATCAAACCAACCAAAAAGAGATACACCTTAAAAACAAGGACAAAAACCTACTTGCTGAATTTTAAAATGATGATGCAACTGTCTGGTTAAAGGCATAGAACTTACTTGAGATCTATGTCCCTTCAAATTGTACCAGAATACTATGTGCACATTTTATAGCTTGGATCATTCATACAAAGTTTCCGGACCATGGGTTAACAACAGAAAGACTGACTACTGACAACACGCTGGAACAGAAGCGTACATGAGTTTAAATTGAGTCAACTAGAAAAGGTGCCCAATCTCAGTCTTTAATAAAATATACTCTGCAACAAAAGAAACACTAAAGTTAAACAATTAGAAATATTTGATGGAGTTTTGCTGACATTCAATTCAAAATGAATGCCAAATATGAAGTTCTCGTGTCTGTATACATCAGGAGTGATTTGTGGGTAGAGTAATGTACCGCAAATAAATCACGGAAAAGTGGCGGAAACACAAATACGTAATACGCCAAACATGAAGTGAATGTGCAACAAGAACTGTTGGGCTACGAAAACAATGAGTTTTCAGTTGTCACAATTGTACAATAAGTGAAAATATGTCATGTCTGACAGAAGCTCAACGCAGCAATGTTATCAGCTGACTGCAGGCACATGACCTACCCAGATCCGGTCAACCATGTGATAAACCATAGCTACATCTGCAACTACAGCAATACCAGGACTGCGTAAGATTTCAGCCCATACAAGGAGGAAACATCTACGCACCGCAGGTATTTGACTGAGACATCTAGTTCAAGGAGTCACTCTTGACTGATCAGCATTGTAATATCACATTGTTTGCTTCCTGGTACAGAGGACTTCGCCTTCACAGACATTGTGGGGAGCATTATGTGTGCGATTGCATACAGGAAGTGGACAGGTTTGGTGTCGGGATTGGGCCACCATCTCACATACCACTACAACAGACTTGGTGCAGGTTCTGCGCAATTCAGTTGCACAACATTGCTCAGATGATTTTCTTCGGTCTTCTCATTGTGCAACAACCAAACATAATTTTTCCACTCAACACCAAACCTCACACCGCAAGACCACAACATCAAAGTCATCAAGATCTCCAGTTCTAAACTCCATATTACAGTTATGGCATACACTTGATCAAAGTCTGCAATCACGTCAGCAACAGTCACATAAACTCCATCAGTTGGCACAAGCACTGCAGGAGGAGCGGGAGTTGCTCAGGCTAGTCGTACTCTGATGGGTTGATGCCAGGCAGTTCTGGACTAACATGGGGGGCCATAACAGATAACCTTACCCTTGTTTGCCATGATGAACAATTTATCATGATCTGTTGATTACTTATATAATACAGAAGTAGAATCGGAAAACTATTCCTGTGCTTCTTTTTCTACAGTGAGAAGATGTTAACTGCTTGACTGGAACACGGACTTTGACAAGCTCTTGCTGAACTTGTAGGCTATCCTCTCATGTGGATAATGTGTGCAAACATTTTGTTTTGTGAGGCTGTTGATAGTCTTCATGGGACTGACTGGGCAGTCGGAAATGTGAACATAAGCTCAAACATAGACAGTCACAGTTTATTTGTATATTATGTCATACAAAACTCAAGTTGCACCACGGCGAATATTGTTTTACAAGATAACAGACTGACACCTGTCAGATCCTACAGATAGAGCACATTAATATCAATCACCACAGAGCCTTCGTGAACATGCCCATCTTGACACAACATACAATCACTGCCAGAACAAGTCTCCACTGACGAGGTATTTAATATTTTGATATGTACTAATTTCAATTGCATAATCTGAAGGCAGCAAAATAGCTTCCAAGCTGAGATAGACAGGGCTTGTGTTGTATCAAGATGGGGAGCCCTATCTGCTGACTGAGGTGTGCCATGGAGGAGGAATACACTAGCTAGAAATGCATAGCTGTTCATCTGAAGCATCTGTGAATCAGTGAGAACAGGGAATGATGGTCTGCAAAAAGGGAAGGTAGAATACAATATCAAACATGACACCAACAGTTTGCAGGATTTTGGATTAAAGGGGAAGTGAGGCAAATAACTACAAATACTTTCACAAATCCCATTACTGAACAGTTCCAGAGATTTTTTGATACTGTTGAAGACATTGTTGTGGCTCGGTCACCAGCTCTTGTACATGCTTACAAGCACACACACTCACACACACACACACACACACATTTGCATACACACACACACACTCCACCTTCATATACTGCCTGCAGCAGTTTCACAACAAGGTGTGAAGTATACAGCAATAATGATGGAGACTCTAGAGTCCTGTGATGCCATGTGTGTCACAAGCTCTGTTGAAATCTGTCCAGGTGACCTGTATGAACTGAACCCAGGACACGGTCGTCCCAGCAACTGGTATGAGCTGTCACACAGGACACAGTCGCCCCAGCAACTGGTATGAACTGAACCCAGGACACGGTCATCCCAGCAACTGGTATGAGCTGTAACCAAGGACACGGTCGTCCCAGCAACTGGTATGAGCTGTCACACAGGACACAGTCGTCCCAGCAACTGGTATGAGCTGTAACCAAGGACACGGTCGTCCCAGCAACTGGTATGAGCTGTAACCAAGGACACAGTCGTCCCAGCAACTGGTATGAGCTGTAACCAAGGACACGGTCGTCCCAGCAACTGGTATGAGCTGTCACACAGGACACTGTCACCACTTCTGCGTGAGATCACCTGTCTTTTCCCCACTTGTAATGCTATTCTTCTTCGTGTGGCTGCTCATGTATCTAGGTTAGCTCTGCTGTTGATCCTCAATGAGCTGTCCTTTATCCGGGATCTCTCCATTTACATCCATTACAACAGCCTTGGTTGTGTTGCTCTTGGAATCAGTTAGGTCGTGCCTGACCACTTGGGAGTCCCAGCCACAGGTGTACAGACAGTCACTGCCAAACCAGGTCAGACCCTGCACGAAGTCGGAGTGAGAACACACACTGTAGCTGAAATGAAATAAATTAGAAAGACTCAATTCCTGTACATATAAGGGTGAAACAGTTTCGATGTTGTATCTCTGCATGCTGGCTTCCCAATGTAAATTCCCTTCCAAGGTTCCCACCCCTCCCCACTAAAGTGCATATTTCCCTCCCAATGTGTATTATCCCACCCTCTGTATTCAAATGCGAATTAACCAACCGCTGTATTTCCACCGTGATTCAGGGTTAGAACTTAACTTTTTAAAGCACAAGCAAAAAACTGCTTGTGACTTTAAGGTACAAGCTAAATGAAATTTCAAGAAGCAAAAACATAAAAGTAATTCCAAAATCAATAACCTTTAGTTTGAACATCCTTAAGTAACGGTAAACATTTGTGAAATAATCATCTCTCTTTCTTAACTTTCTGTGCTGCAACAGCAACAGGGAAATTCCTTAGATCTGGGCTCCTCAATTTGGATTGTAGAAGGGGGTCGGCTTATCTATGGGTTACACTTTCTTGAAACTTTTTCAGAGCGTAAGAAAACAACATTACATATCAGTTTGAGTGAAGGAACAAGAGAAGGCTACTTTGTCAGTAAAGACAGTAAATTTGCAATTACAGATCACTATGCACGATTGTTTACCATTTCAGTTCTAATTTATTTTTGCTTTGCATTGTATTATATGCAGGGATTAAGATTAATGTGTGTATTTGTCTCGTATACGGAAATAGCAATCAGCTGTGCACACGCCCCCCGCGATTTGCCAGTAGTTTTTGAGATGAATTCTGATGCAGTTCGGAAACTGTTTATTTTATCAAGAGAAATATATTCTAGCATTGTGTTTTGCTCTATCAATGCAAAATATTTATAATCATAACTAATGTTATGTGACAGCACTTTGGTGTATTGTTCGCTCTGTTACCCTGTTCGGAAGTATTACCTTCGGTGTGCCATGCTATTTTTAGTTTGACACGAGGTCATGATGTTTTCGACCAATCATCAAACTAAACAAATTACAAATGTCGCAGAGCTGCTTAATATGCAGCACCTGATTGGCTGAAGTAAACCTATGGACTATACCATACAGTAATATATGCAAAACCGAAAATAGATATAGGTCGAGAAACCACTTTGGGTATTTTGTCATGAGTGAGTGAGTGAGTTTAGTTTTGCGCCGCTTTTAACAATATTCCAGAAATACCACGGCAGGGGACACCAGAAATAGGCTTCACACACTGTACCCATGAGGGGAATCGAACCCGGCTCTTCGGCGTGACGAGCAAACACTTTAACCACTAGGCTACCCCACCACCCCTGTATTTGTCATGAAAAGAGAGAGAATGATGAAACCAGTTTGGTTTAACATACGGAAGAGTTTATCAACATGATTCGCTGTCTTGTTTATATATTTACTTATTTATTTATAGTTTATATATGCTTTTGATTTGCGATATGTAATTGTGTCCACGAGACCCACACGTTACACAGGTGCGTGAGCTGACACAATATGATAGGTACGTGGTCATTTTGTTGCGTGACAAGTTGCGCATCGATTTTCATTTTTTGAGGGAGATGTACGCGGGGAATACTGCAATCGAGCGCAACCTGGATGCAACACTGCAAGACGCTAAGAAAGTCATCCTTGTTTTAAAAATGTAACGTTATTATGAATTTTTAAACGCATTTAGCGTATTAATTCGACCCTTGTGCTTATTTCCTCACCCACTGCATTCCCTCCATGCATATGTCCCCACCCACTGTATTCCCTCAATGGGTATCACAGAGATGCCAACCTTGAAGCAAATGAAAGCTGAGTCATGCCTTGCTAAAAGCAATTCCCGAGCCCTGAAGGTGCGAGTTGGGGCAGTCTAAGTAAACTGAAGCTCAGTATTATTTGTTACACTGCTATACTGAGTCTAACAAAACCTTGTGGAAGGTCGCGTCAGGTAACCTTTGAGCGACCTATGACCGTCAATCAAACGCGAGACGGCCGAACGGATTTAACCAATCAGACAACAGCTATTATTTAGGGAGAATGATGAAACCAGTTTTATCCAGACTTACAAAATGGATTTTCTCTTCCCCGTTCGCCAAAACTAATCTCCCAACAAATGAAAATTGCATAAAACACAGATATTGGCCCTGCAGTATATGGGGTTTCTGTTGACATGGCTATCATTAGCTAATATTTCAGCAAGCTGACATGCTTGAATACTGACAAAACTCTATTTTCAGCAACCATTTACTCACTGCAGTGGTGTGCCTCACTAGGAACCGATCATACGGAAAATAACATTTGGAATCGTTCGGTAAAAGTTTTGGAGGTAAAAGTTCAAAAGGTATGTGCGAATGTCAACTTTCGCGATTTGGTAAGCTGTGTTCTGATTGGTCAATTGAAAAGGTTATCTGACGCGACCTTCCACAAGGTTTTGGTAGACTCAGTATAGCAGTCTGACGAATAATACTGAGTCTTAAGTTTACTGAGACTGCGAGTTGGGGGAGAGCGTGAGAGGGGGCTCGGGCACCTTTTGACGATGGGGGTCTGGGCGCCTCCCCTATGAAAATCTTTAGATTTAGCCTGGAAATATATAATTTCTGGGCAAACCAGATGATACTTAACTGAGATGAACATATTTAAATGGCTATTTACTAAAATTCTTTCAAACATTTTAAATTGATAAACATACTTATATTTTCTACTTATATTTTCTATTGACAAATTGGAGAGTGCATTTTGTATTTGAAAATCAGAGCAACTCCTCCAAAATCGGAGTGGTTGGCATCTCCGGTATTTCCCCACCAACTGTAGTCCCTCCATGCATATTCCCCACCAACTGTAATTCCTCCATGCATATTCCCCACCAACTGTAATTCCTCCATGCATATTCCCCACCAACTGTAATTCCTCCATGCATATTCCCCACCAACTGTAATTCCTCCATGCATATTCCCCACCAACTGTAGTCCCTCCATGCATATTCCCCACCAACTGTAATTCCTCCATGCATATTCCCCACCAACTGTAACCTCCATGCATATTCCCTCACCAACTGTAGTCCCTCCATGCATATTTCCCACCAACTGTAAATCCTCCATGTATATTTCTACCAACTGTAGTCCCTCCATGCATATTCCCACCAACTGTAATTCCTCCATGCATATTCCTACCAACTATAGTCCTCTCCATGCATATTCCCACCAACTGTAATCCTTTTACATGCATATTTTCCCACCAACTGTAGTCCCTCCATGCATATTCCCCACCAACTGTAATTCCTCCATGCATATTCCCCACCAACTGTAATTCCTCCATGCATATTCCCCACCAACTGTAATTCCTCCATGCATATTCCCCACCAACTGTAGTCCCTCCATGCATATTCCCCGCCAACTGTAATTCCTCCATGCATATTCCCCACCAACTATAGTCCCTCCATGCATATTCCCCACCAACTGTAATTCCTCCATGCATATTCCCCACCAACTGTAATTCCTCCATGCATATTTCCCACCAACTGTAATCCCTCCATGCATATTCCCCACCAACTATAGTCCCTCCATGCATATTCCCCACCAACTGTAGTCCCTCCATGCATATTTCCCACCAACTGTAAATCCTCCATGCATATTTCCCCACCAACTGTAGTCCCTCCATGCATATTCCCCACCAACTGTAATTCCTCCATGCATATTCCCCACCAACTATAGTCCCTCCATGCATATTCCCCACCAACTGTAATCCCTACATGCATATTTCCCCACCAACTGTAGTCCCTCCATGCATATTCCCCACCAACTGTAATTCCTCCATGCATATTCCCCACCAACTATAGTCCCTCCATGCAAATTCCTCACCAACTGTAATTCCTCCATGCATATTTCTCAACAACTGTAATCCCTCCATGCATATTCCCCACCAACTATAGTCCCTTCATGCATATTCCCCGACAACTGTAATTCCTCCATGCATATTCCCCACTAACTGTAGTCCCTCCATGCATATTTCCCCTACAACTGTAATCCCTCCATGCATATTCCCCACCAACTATAGTCCCTCCATGCATATTCCCCACCAACTGTAATTCCTCAATGCGTAATCCTCACCCACTGTTCCCGCCATGCATATTCCTCACCAACTATAGTCCCTCCATGCATATTCCCCACCAACTGTAATTCCTCCATTCATATTTCCCCAACAACTGTAATCCCTCCATGCATATTCCCCACCAACTGTAGTCCCTCCATGCATATTCCCCACCAACTGTAATTCCTCAATGCGTAATCCTCACCCACTGTTCCCGCCATGCAAATTCCCCACCAACTATAGTCCCTCCATGCATATTCCCCACCAACTGTAGTCCCTCCATGCATATTCCCCACCAACTGTAATTCCTCAATGCGTAATCCTTACCCACTGTTCCCGCCATGCATATTCCCCACCAACTGTAATCCCTCCATGCATATTCCCCACCAACTGTAGTCCCTCCATGCATATTCCCCACCAACTGTAATCCCTCCATGCATATTCCCTACCCACTGTAGTCCCTCCATGCATATTCCCCACCAACTGTAATCCCTCCATGCATATTCCCCACCAACTGTAATCCCTCAATACATATCCCACCACTGTATTCCCTCAATGCATATTCCCCACCCACTGTAATCCCTCCATGCATATTCCCTACCAACTGTAGTCCCTCCATGCATATTCCCCACCAACTGTAATCCCTCCATGCATATTCCCCACCCACTGTATTCCCTCAATGCATATTCCCCACCCACTGTATTCCCTCAATGCGATATTCACCCACCCACTGTATTCCCTCAATGCGTAATACCCACCCACTGTATTCCCTCAATGCGTAATACCCACCCACTGTATTCCCTCAATGCGTAATACCCACCCACTGTATTCCCTCAATGCGTAATACCCACCCACTGTATTCCCTCAATGCGTAATACCCACACACTGTATTCCCTCAATGCGTAATACCCACACACTGTATTCCCCACAACACTGTATTCCCACACACTGTATTCCCTCAATGTAATACCCACACACTGTATTCCCTCAATGCGTACCCACACCCACCCATGTATTCCCTCAATGCGTAATACCCACACACTGTATTCCCTCAATGTGTAATACCCACACACTGTATTCCCTCAATGCATTAATACCCACACCACTGTATTCCCTCAATGCGTAATACCCACCCACTGTATTCCCTCAATGTGTAATACCCACCCACTGTATTCCCTCAATGCGTAATACCCACACACTGTATTCCCTCAATGTGTAATACCCACACACTGTATTCCCTCAATCGTACCCACCCACTCACTGTATTCCCTCAATGCAATGTGTAATACCCACACACTGTATTCCCTCAATGCGTAATACCCACACACTGTATTCCCTCAATGCGTAATACCCACACACTGTATTCCCTCAATGTAATACCCACACACTGTATTCCCTCAATGTATACCCACAAACTGTATTCCCTCAATGCGTAATACCCACACACTGTATTCCCTCAATGCGTAATACCCACACACTGTATTCCCTCAATGAGTAATACCCACACACTGTATTCCCTCTATGTGTATTTCCCTACACACTGTATTCCCTCAATGCGTATTTCCCAACCCACTATATTCCCTAAAAGCGTAGTAGTACACACAATGGAGGTGCTGCATCAGATCCGCTTATTGCGTTATTTATGGCTAAATAAGCTTCCAGGGGCCCTTTACAAATGGCGGTTGATGAGGGGACATCAAACAATGTCCAGGGACAAAAGAGAAATTTTTAAATCATGCATTTACATTGACATCAAGGAAACAGTTTATTGTGAATCTCTTATGATTTCTTTGGTTTTGGTAAGGAATGCTTGACGGGTTTGTTCTCTCCCCAGTTCTATGAATTATTATTTCTCTTTTTCGTTAATGCCATTGGCTTTACAAGATTTTTTTTAATCTCTTGACCGAATGGGTCACGCTTTTACCTAAAGTTGTGTCAGCGATCAACAACGAAGTGACGCAACTCATCAACAAGAAACCCTCCAAAGCTATTAAAATGAAATCCGTTTCTTCTGAATCGTCTGCGCCGCATAGGGGTAAAGAGAAAAAACTATCGGGTCGGGTCAGCATGAGGTGTTTATACCAGCTCAGCGAACTCGAGGGAGGAAGTCAACGACGCGCCACCAACCCTCTGTGGTCAATCAAAATGCATCACATCGACCGGGTGGATATCAAAGAAGACGAGCCCTATTTGTATTATCAAAAAGATGGACCTGGCAGGGGAATCGTGCGAGCGGAATTGTCCATCGTACCCCATGACATGGCGTTACCTCCCTCACTATTAGATATAAATAAGTAAATAAGAAATCCCGACTTCAATGAATTTATAACAGATCCCATCTATAACAAAATTGCTAAACAATACAATTACTGAGGGGAAAAAAATTTACTGATGTATCATTTGTGGTATACGATACTACTCATGATACACCTTTTTTTTTCTTTTTTTTTTCGGATAAGGCACAGGATTTGTACCTGACGACACAGTGTTATCCAATGGGTTTTTAATATTTGGTAAGACTATCAAAATGGTTGGATACAAAGTGATGGGGTTTCCGTCTTTAAGGAAAGTTCTGGCTGGTCCCATGCGAACTTTAAACCCAAAGTTGTAATCATCCCTGTCCCTCATTATCCAGCTAATTTTTTGTTCGTTTTGGGTCACGAATATTTCTGCACACTGAGAATTCTCTTTCAACTCGAGCTCCAGTCTCTTGTTTGCCCAAAAAACAATTCCATCTTTGAGCACCACTCTGATGGATTGCCCTTCCTGCTTACTCCAACCTATAATGTCTATCGTTTTTCCTGCTATGACTGATATATTTTCAGCCGGTATGATTTTCAGCGATTCCTTCACTATCTCGAACCACTCAAGAGCCAAAGCAGAGTATTTTGTTTTCTCTTGTGGAATCATTTTTCATTATACCTCTATTAATATCATCTTTCTAAATGGAAAAATTTAAGTGTGGCTTCATAATTTAAAAATTTATCTTTCGTCCTGGGACATTGTTTGATGTCCCCTCATCAACCGCCGTTTGTACAGGGCCCCTGGGAGCTTAATTAGCCATAAATAACGCCATAAGCGGATCTGATGCAGAACCTCCATTGTGCATATTACTACTGTATTCCCTCAATGTGTATTTCCCAACCCACTATATTCCCTAAAAGCGTATTTCCCAACCCACTATATTCCCTAAAAGCGTAAAAAGGAAATCAAAGTATGATAAGCGATCAGAGTTAGTTTAGCAAAACAGAAAATTATTTTATCCAATCACACTGCTATATCAACGTACATTATATGGAATCCTTGGACTACAGTCTTGGCAACATCAATGGCTGATCAGTTGTAATTGCTCAAAGCTACGGCTGCTCAAAGCTACGGCTGCTCAAAGCTACGGCTGCTCAAAAATATTTTCATGACTCATTACTGGCCAGTTGTCAACATTCTGATAGATCTTTTGTCAAAATATATTCAGAATTTGCTGAAACTTAGCTAATTTCTTTGAATTAGCAAAGTTGACAGTCCTGGTGCAGCATTCACAACTTACCTGCTGGCTATGGAATTATCATCGATTGCAGCCACCACCGTCCCACAGTCCTCCCCCACTGACGCCAGCAAACTTGGTCTGTGAACACAACAAGGGGAACATGTAGCTCCATCATCTACAGGAGAGTAATGAGCAGGTGATTCTCTTGATTGCTTTAACTCTCACAGAAAGTAGCATTCTTACCCAGCTTGATTGGTTCAGGGGTGTTCCAAAATTCCAGTACTTGCCAAATGGCATTTGTATCAGCAGGATGTACTTGTAACAATGACTTTGTTGATAGCATGATAGCCCTGTTTTAGAGTCCATAGTGTCTAAGGCTAACTCCATCAAAATACAAAATGGACTGTTCCTGAAGCTCTTCTTACTAGCGTGTGCATGGTACTTACTTGGCCGGGCAGAACTCTGTACGTTGTACCCTGCGCGTGTGCGGTGTATAAGCCTGGACTGTGTCAGCCACCATCCTGATATCCATCAGCACCATCTGGCCCACCTCACTGCCTATGGCTGCTGTGTGTTGTGAGCCGGGCTGCCAGGAGGAGCAGGTAGGGGAGCCCTGCAGACGTGGACACTCTGCAGCATAAATACAACTCATACAGCAGGCAGCAGGGCTACAACAATTAAGGCATAAACAGTTTAATACTCAGTCAGGTCCTGGATTTATACCACCTTCAAGAAAACCATATGTTTGGTCCACCTAGCACAGCGGCGCTCACATCCAGCATATCCTGAAAGCTGGGGGCTGCGCTGGGACCATGGTGAACATGAAATCTTAGTCTTTGTTATTTTTTCAGTTAAGTCCTTATTGAAAACATATTTTTCACATACAGTGAGACCCCGGATATCTGGACACATTCGTTTTTGCGTAAATCGCCCGGATAACTGAATATCCGGATGTCTGGATTTCTGTCATCAAGACTTAGGTGTTGAAACGGTAGCGAGCATACACTTTTGCTTTAAAATCACTTCAAAAACAGCATGATCATTTTTATTTGCCAATTACAATTCACTCTGTGTCAGATAGGCCTACTAATCACCACCAATACCCTGCTAATTGGTCATTAATCTGCATTAGCAGACCTTGTCTCGTGTCAAGACATGTTGGACACTCGCGCTTCACTTCACACAGCCAGCGGAAAATCAAAGTTTCGTACGGATAAATGAGTCAATTTTGTGTTGATTTAGCCGTTTGGTTTGTAAAATTTACCGTCCAGGAACGGAAACTGCATATGCGTTATAGACAGTCACTTTTATAACGTAGGAGATTGGTTATTTATGAAAATTGACCAGAAGGGGAGGTGTCCGGATCTTGGGGGTCCAGGGTCTCACTGTAGATTGGTATTCTGATCTTACTGATAATACTGGCTGGTTTAGGTTTCCTCTGATCCCACAGCAGGACCGCTTTGTCATGTCCACATGACAGGTACATGTCCGCCTCTGTAGGGTGACAGTCAACTGACCACACAATATCAGAGTGGGCTGAAACAACAACACGGGCTAACTATTGCAACACTCAACATCACCATGGCAACATCTCATTTATACATACAATCATTATGCTTATCAGATACTGCTGTATCTACACCAAAACATTTCTCACAATCTGCACCTATTCACTTGAAACTGAATTCTTTATTTGTGCAAAGTTCTGAACAGAAATACTGTATGCTTTTCAAGATCTAATTCATAAACAAGCACTCCTGTCCTTTCCAGCCAAGTCACAGTTGTTACCATGGAAACTAAAAAAAAAAAAATCCTCAAACTATCAAACGGCACTAGTTCACCACATGAGCTATCAAAGACGGTTTTAATATCTGCTCCAGAAACAACATCAGGCCAGAAGAACAGATGCAGGTAGACATGCAAAACATCCTGTACATAATGTATAGCCTGAGTTAGTTTAGGGCGCGCCATGCCTAAAAGGCAGGAGACCTTTTGGAACTGTTCGATTATGTAATTTTCTGACTAAAATTGGTATTTTATACTTATCCTGACTCATGCTAATTATGCTTGTATCCTTCCTCTTGCGAATGATAGTGGAACACTTGAAATCCCTTGAAGTTTCCTTCTAAAACAGCAGACGTAAAATCACTCACCCACGAGTAGCGTCCCTTTCCTCCCTTTTGACGCCCAAATGGTCACATGATCGGCCATATTTGGCACTCTCTCCGTATGTAAGCCTGACACCCGGATTTACAGGGAAATCCAGAGTGCCATAAGAGGGGATGTTGGGAGGGCTAACCTCACGAGTCAGGATAAGTTTAAAATATCAATTTTAGTCAGAAAATTACATATTTTTCCTTATCCTGACTCATGCTAATTATGCTTGCAGAATCCGTCGGAAACGGTGGTGGGTCAGGCCACATTCTGGATTCACTGGTTGTAGATTAACGTCCTGTATTGCCTCCCCCTTTGGAACTTATGACGGCACTGTTGAAGATTCTGTTCTTTCAACTTCTCTCTCATGAGTCTGGGAGGGCCACAACTTGTCAGATTTCTTCCGAAACTTCTCCTGACATTTTCGTGTGGATGTTAGATATACTAATATTCCATTAGTTATCTATTGCAACTCCATCTCTTGATGCGCGCATCAAGTGGAGATGCTACCCTTCTTCATGTACAAGTATGTCCTATACAAGTACAGGGTCTATCACTCATGCTAGTCTGTCCTAGATGTGTGCATGGACTTATAGCCATTGTTCTCCAGAGCGTTGGTTTTCACAAGTCATGTGATAAAAGGGGTGAGATTTACTCAGCGCCTTTGTGGAACCGTTAGTTGTTGTGCTACAACAAGTGGCCCAAACTGGTGAATGCCTGAGACGTCTTCAGTGGCAATGTCTCTGAGGTAGTGGTTGGCAAACACCGTGTTCGATCTCCAAAAGCAGACCTCCATTATAGTTGTAATCGAGCAGTTTCCTTGCAGAGCAAGTGTTGACACCAGGGCTCTGACTTCATGTGGATTGGAGGCTCGTGGAGGCTCAAGTCCTGCTGCTTTATAGGCCCTTTATAGGCTTTCATCCAGATCGATATCGTTGTCCGAGAGACTTCCGTGGGCGTCTCGGTGGATAAGGGGATGAATAGGTGCTTGAATTTTCGTTTCCTTGTTTTAGTTCTCTGTAGGTTGAGTTTAAGTGCTCTGACTGGGCATAAGGATAGATCCTGCGTATCCTGTGGCGCAAGGACTGTAGAGAGTGCTGGGATGTGGAACTGTCTGTCAGGCTGACCAGGCAGTTGGTTCTTGGTGATAAAATCCCATCTCAGTCCAAGATGTACGATGTTACGATGTTTTGATTCAAATCGTGTTTGTTCAAAGTCCAGAGCATGTATTTCTGACATCCGTGCAGCTGTTGCTAGGGCGATCAGGAACAGCGTTTTCTGAGTTAGTAGCTCAAAGGATGTCTGTTCTAGAAGCTCATAGGCATCACTGGTGAGATGTTGTAGAACTATGTTGAGATCCCAGGCAGGAGCCTTAAATTTCTTTTGTTGGTCTTCCAACTTGAACGAGAGTAGTAGTGCCAGAATCTCTGGCACTTTGGTCAGGTTGATACCCGTTTTCATGTTGATACTGTACTGAGGGCAGCTAAGTAAGTTGAGAGTAGGTAAGTTGAGAGTGTCTCATCTGTCGTAGATGACATAAGTACTCCATCACTTGAGGATGTGTTGCTTTCACCGCTGTAAAGCCTATCCTCTTTATATACTGTTCAAATCTCTGCAACTTGTTGTTGTACAAGTAGCGCATTGATCTGCGTAGAGCTAGTGTAACTGCTTTCGCTGCTCTGGCGGAGTACCCTCTAGTCTTCAGGCAAGCTGTAATACGCTCCAGGCGTGTAGCTGGAACAGTGTCGGTTTCCCGTGAGCTTGCTTGGTGTGTGGATGGACGAGCAGGTTCAACCACTCTGGTAGTTTCAGGGTTGGACTTCCGAGTTCTTGTATGAGGACGGGAAACCATACCCTCGGTGGCCAGTAGGGCACGACCAAAATCAGTTGCAACGTAGTCGTCTGCTTGATTTTCTGTATTACTTGTGGGAGTAGTGCAGGAGGTGGAAACTCGTAAGCGTTTAGTCCTTCCCATGAGATGCTTAGAGCACCTGTTGCCCATGCCTGAGGATCCAGAATCGGTGAGACGAACGTTGGTAGCTGTTTGTTAACTTTGTTGCCAACAGGTCTATTAGTGGGGATCCTATAGTCTGTATGATGAACTGGAATGCTTCTGGATGCAACATCCATTCTGTCGGGGATGGTTGTAGTGGAAGAGATAGGGCGTCTGCTATGACATTCTTTGCTCCTGGAATGTGACATGCCTTCATGTAGATGTTAAGGTCGTCGACTATGCTGAACAGGAGAAAGCTGAGTTGTAGCAGACTTGTTGATCTTGTTGACCCTTGTTTGTTGATGTAAAACGCCACTGTAGAGTTGTCCGTGTGTACCATGAGTTGTGCGTTCTTTAGTACGCTGGACCAATGTTGTAAAGCGTTGATTACTGCTTTCATCTCCAACAGATTGATGTGTGACTTCTGATCCTGACTCGACCACTTTCCTACTGCCACTTCGTTGTTGAAGTTGAACAGTAAGTGATTGGTGTTTGCACAATTAATGAGTTTGATGTACAAGGATGGAGGATGTTTACACAAGAAGGCAATTGTTACACAGAGTGAGCTATGGGGGATTATTGGGAGGAAGCCAGTGATGTATATATACCTTGCCTCTAGTATTGTACATCATTTGCTTGAAAACGGTGTTAGTAGCTACACCGAAACATTGCTCATATTATATTAAAGAAGTTGTATATCCATATATCTAAATGCCACTCAAACAAGCTGAGGTGAGTAGACCGAGCATGCTTTGCCAAGCACGTAGTGTCAACGGAGAGAGCAATGCTTGAGATATCATCTGTTGTTTCTTGACCCAACGATCCTCTGGAACGACTATGCGATTCACTGGTGTGATGAGTCGAATTCCTAGAAATTGCAGATCTTGTTTCGGCTCCAGTTCCAACTTGAGGAGATTCAATAGCCATCCTAGTTGAGTGAGCAGCCTTATGGTGAAGTCTAGTTGCAGTCTGAGTTGACTGCGATCGTGATGAGCTTGAATCCCGTCGTCCAGGTAGAAAGCACTGCGTAGACCTCGACGATGTAGATATGTGACGATGGGCTTGTCACTCGAGTAAACAACCAGGGGGCCGACGATATTCCAAACGGTAGAACCTTCCACTGGAAGTGATGTCCGTTGAACAGGAATCGTAGGTACTTCCTTGAGTCTGGATGTATCGGGATGTGGAGGTACGCATCTTGCAGATCTATGCTGGCGAGGTAGTCTGCTGGATGAACGAGATGTCAGAGCTGAGGAAGATGTATCATTTTGAATTTTGCTGGTCTGCGTAGATACTCCCGGTTGAACTTCCTCATGTTGTAGATGAGCCGAAATTTCTCCTTGGAATTCTTCTTTGGTACCAGGAAAATTGGGGAGTAAAACCCGGGCGTGATGAGATCTTGATCTATCTCTTCTACTGCCTCTTTGTTGAGTAGGGTCTTGATAGCATCGTCCAGTTTCTCTATCTGGTCGGCTGCATAGTTGAAGGCCATCGGGTTGCTTGTGAGCAGCGGAGTGGCTTCCAACTGTATCTTGTACCCTCTGCGCAGTATCTGGGATACGTAGTCGTCCTGTAGTATTCCCGAATTCTCCCAGTACCTTTGAAGACATCCACCCACTGTCGAAGGATGTAAAGGAACGGCTGGAGGTGGAAGACTTCAGTCGTTCCGAACCTGTCCTTCAGCGCTTGATTCCTCTTGCACCCCTAGGTGCTCGGCCTCTTCCGGGGTTACCTCTAGGAGCTCCAGTTGGGCGACGAAAATAGCCTCTTCCTTTCATGCTGGAATACTTCCTTTCTCTGGCTCTCTGGCTCCTGCAAACTTAGATTTATTGGAGTAGCATTGGGACGTCTCACGAATCAAGTTAGCCAAGGTGTCGATGGATTTAATCATCATAGCCTCCCTTGAGTCGTGAGAGACCTCTGGCAACTTCTTCAATTCCTCCTCCGAAGATGTAAGATGCTGACCATGGGGCTCTGTATAAGGACTTGGTGAAGCGTTCACTCCAAGTGCATGCTGACAATAACCCTTGTCTTCTCAGGAGAGTCAGGCCCGCTGATGTGGATGCTAAGTGCTCCGACATAAACTGATGATCCCTCTTCTGCATTAGTAGAGCGGAGTATATCATCCGGTCTACTTCGGCAGAGGAGTGGTTGAACTTCGAGATGAGTGTTTTTAGTTTATAGCCCTCGATCTGGCTAATCCGAAGAAAGTACGTCTGGTGGTTGTATCCAGCTGCGCTAACTTCTTATCCTCAATTTTGTAAGTTCTCTGACGGGAGTCGGTGATAATCTTGTAGTCATCATCAACCTCTGGAGCCTTCAGGAAGGGTTCCATCCTATGTAGAGGGAATTTCCTGGCGTTGAACGTCGGGATGTGCTGATTCTGCGACTTGGTGGCTTTATCAAAAGCTGCGCTGAGGTTGTCTTGTACTTGAGAGATCGGGTCGATCGGTGGAAAGGTGAGCGTGCCGAAATCATCGTTGGACATCTTGTAGGTAAACGCCTCATCTGTGTCCTTAGAAGGTGATGATAAGTCCAAGCCATTGGCGATCCAGGAGTTAACTTCAGTATCAGAGAATATGCCTTCACCTTCATCCTCTGATTTAGACATCTCTCGCTCTAAGGATGCACGACGACTTGAGTCTCTATAGGATGATCTGTAAGATGAGCTTCGCGCAGGCGATCGATCCCGATGCGATCTTGAATCCTACCTGGAGTTTTGAGATAATTCTCTAGGCCTTTGCAAAGGTGGGTTCCTGGAAGTAGCTTCCCCTCTGTAGGGGTGCCTTCACGCAGGGTCTCGATGGGCGTCAGAGTCCGATGGAGATGAAGACTCATATCTGCGACATCTGTAGGGTTCGGGAGAACGCCTCGATTCCTTCCTGCGTGGAGACTTCTTAGCAGCAATCTCTGGAGCGTCTACGTTGGTAGCAGAGTCGTGTCCGTGAGCCTTCACACAGGCTTCCCTCTTCATCCAGATGTGGTGGGGAGACTGTAGAGCCTTCACGCAGGCTAGTAGTCGTTGTAGAGGTCTTCATAGCAGCCTTCTCCTGAGCGAAGCAACGTTCCATCATCGACATCATCTGGTCTGTAAACTGTTGCATGAACAGTCCCGGGTTGAAGTTCTGCGTTGTCTGAAGAGACTGCTGCAGGGATGATGCATCTGATACTGAAGAGACGTCCTCTAAGGCTCGCTGCACTTGTGAAGAGTCTGGTACCCGATGTCTGCATTGATAGAAGGTCTTCTGTCAATGTCTGCGCTGATAACAATGCCGATGTAGCTGTAGAAGCAGACATCATCTTCTTACTGACGATGGTGACTTCAGGTATGAGGATGGGTGAATCATCATAAACATCTGCTTCTTCCGGAGGAACAATTTCGGCTGAGAAAGACCTCATCTTCTGTGTAGAGCTGATCTTGGACTTTGCTGAAGTCTTCATGGTAGTAGCCTTCTTCTTCTGCGAAGATGATGATTTAGCCTTCTTCATCTGTGATGGGGTCAGCTCAGTAGACGATGATCTCTTATGGCCTCCGCCGTTCACCACTGGTACATCGACCTGCTCCCGAGAAAAGTTCAGCAATTCACTGGAATTATGAATATCTGCAGCAGTGGTCAACACACGGTTATCAGCGCAATCACTCGATTTAGACATGACTTGTGAATACCTTGCTACCCAGTCCTTAGCACGTCTATAGATGGAAAAAAGGTAATTATTAAATTCAACTGAAGTTAAATTTACACAAAACTTACAGCGAGTGAGTGAGTGAGTGAGTTTAGTTTTACGCCGCACTCAGCAATATTCCAGCTATATGGCGGCGGTCTGTAAATAATCGAGTCTGGACCAGACAATCCAGTGATCAACAGCATGAGCATCGATCTGCGCAATTGGGAACCGATGACATGTGTCAACCAAGTCAGCGAAACTGACCACCCGATCCCGTTAGTCGCCTCTTAGGACAAGATAGTCGCTTTTTATGGCAAGCACATGGGTTGCTGAAGACCTATTCTACCCCGGATCTTCACGGGTCACTTACAGCGAGAGCTGAAAGAACATGAAACAGTGCAATTAGGACATAATAAATGAGGGTCAGCCGCAGACACTCGGTACCTACAAGCGAATACAAGTTTTCATCAAATGTAAACATGAAGAAAACACATGTCAAACAACAGAAAATTTAGATCAAATTTCAAACCGTAATGTAGAATATAATCCTAAAAACCGTATACAGCAATAATTTTGATGTAAGGTCCAAAAATATAAAAGGATATGTGCCGTATAGGGACCCAGGTGCTCTCACAACCATCCTCAAGGGCTAAGAAGGAGAGAGTGCCAAATATGGCCGATCATGTGACCATTTGGGCGTCAAAAGGGAGGAAAGGGACGCTACTCGTGGGTGAGTGATTTTACGTCTGCTGTTTTAGAAGGAAACTTCAAGGGATTTCAAGTGTTCCACTATCATTCGCAAGAGGAAGGATACAAGCATAATTAGCATGAGTCAGGATAAGGAAAAATTATTACTATTTATTATTATTATGTTGATTTTTGTTCCAAGCAGAACTCAAGAACTAGTTGTGAGAATCTGTTCAGCAAAATCATCAAGGTGCCCCTGGTCCTGAAGGTGTGTTGAGGAAAATTTCATGGCTCTCGACTCAAGTAATAAGGACAAATAATTCATAGTATAAGTTTAAAAGCAACAATCTCCTAAAATACTGGTCAAATGACTTCCAAATTTCTGGTACAGGTCTGGAATCAGATTCCCTTCAAATACAAGGGTAGGATCCAGGTGTCTGGAAGGCACAGTTTGGCAGCCATACTGGATTTTGGGGCTGTGTTTTTCAGTGTTTTCTGAGTACATGTCTACCAAAATGTGCTGAACTCCAGAGCTTCCAAAATTTCCATCTATTCCAAGGTACAATATTGCTTACTATAGTTTTTATCACCAATGGTTCTCTACAAAGCATATGTATCTAGATCGTATTTTAAACAATTTCTGTTATTTGGTTCACGTTAAACATAACACCATTTGGTTCAGCTGAGGCCAACATAGTTTCTGTGTTCCTGGCAGTTCTTGTCCCTTTAGAGTATTTTCCTGTGGCACCAAATGATATTCTTAGATCCATGAATATGAACTTTGAAACATATTGAATCTAAGTCAGATCACATGACTCCTATATATAAATCCCTACACTGGCTTTCTTTTGTATATATACTCTATAAAATCATTTTTCCTGTGGCACCAACTCCTATTTATAAATCTACTGCATCTCGTATTGACTTCAACTCCTCTGAGGAAGTTCTCAAAGGCTAACCTGGTACTAAAGGCCTAGGTTGCATACAGACCATGGAGACGTCATCACTGCTCGCAGCTATATTTCTAATGCTGCTGTTAATATGAAATACATATATATTCACTCACATTCAAAATGAGTACATTAAGTGAACACCAAATCAAATCTACATCAAATATCAAATGGGGTACATACCTCTATATGTGTGTATTGAAGAGAGATTGCTTAGATCCCACACTTTTATTCTGTCAAATAGAAAAGGAAAAGCTCTCTCAGATCACGTAGATAATATTCTCATACAAAACAAAGATCGTACATTTACAGCTATCAGAGAAATGTATTGTTACAGTTGGAGTAGAGTAGAATGTCCTCCCCCTCACCTGTTGTCATAGCTGGCAGATATAACCGTCTTGCCATCAGCTGACACGCTGACAGAACTGACAATGTTGTCATGCTCTATCGCACACTGAGACAGCACGAATGTGTGGAAGTCATCAACTAGCCCCCACACTGCCACGCCCCCTGAAACAACAAACCAGTATGTTAAATACACTATCCAGTTAAACCCTTCAATGAAGACACAAGCCCACTTCATAAATAAAGCATTGTTACATCACTACATAAATTACTCTTCACAGTCAGTCTTTCAATAACAACTATAGTCCGTTTGGCTCAAAAGCGGACAGATGAATTGCAATCTAACTCGAAAACTAATAAACATATAATACTCAATGAAACGCTGATCATAATCAAAACATCACACCAACTCTGTGATTTATTTGCAGAATATATGTACTAAAATTAAAAATGTAATTTTCTGAATAAAATTGATATTTTATACTTATCCTGACTCATGCTATTTTGCTTGTCTTCTTCTTCTTGCGAACACAGTGGAACACTTGTATCTCCCAATTGAAGCTCCCTTCAATGTAAAATCACTAATTAGTACTCACCAAGAGTTATCTCTATCCCACTCTTTTGCGCGGGAACGAGGGCGCCACTTCCCACCACATGCCTCACTCTCTCCTTATATAGTGAGCCCAACACTTGAATTTTCAGGGAAATCCAAAGTGTTATGTGGGGAGGATGGGAGGGCTTACCTCATAAGTCAGGGTAAGTATAAAATATCAATTTTATTCAGAAAATTACATATTTTTCCTTATCCTGACTCATGCTATTTTGCTTGTAGAATCCTACGGAAACGGAGGTGGGAATACAGAATACTTTGGATTTAGATAATTAGTGATTTGTTAACTGTAATAACTGTAATAACCCTTATGGGAACTTCATAAAGGCACTGAATTGATAAATTCCTGCTGTTAAACTTATCAGCTGCCATATATGGGTTACTACAATATATAGATATTATGATAAACATAAATAAAGTATTTACAACATGAATACTATGCTTAAGACTAAGCTAGACTTAAGCTTGATAATATAATAGCATAAACTTCATAGAGTTGTTAGCTAATGATATTATTATGATACAATAAACATAGTACTGAGCTTAAGATTGTGATTGAACTTAAGCTAAAATATATAATAGCATAAACTTCATAGAGTTATTAGCTATATAGCTGTGCGAGGACCATGGGACCGAAATGGTGAATACCTGAGACGTCCTCGGTGGTGATATCTCTCAGATAGTGGTTGGCAAACACCATATCGGATCTCCAGAAGCAGCCCTCCATGATGGTATTCAAAGAGCAGTTGCCATGTAGAGCAAGTGTTGAAGCTAGGGCTCTAATTTCATGTGGATTAGATGCTCTTGGAGGGTCGAGTCCTGCAGCCTTGTAGGCACGTAGTATGACAGTCCTGATCCATATCGAGATAGTTGTACTTGAGACTTCAGTCTGTGTAGCTGTCGATAGAGGGATGAATAATCGTTTGAGTTTATGTCGCCTCGGATTGGATCGTCAGAGATATATTTTCAGTGCTCTGACTGGGCATAATGATAGATCCAGTGTATCATGAGGTCCGAGAATTGATGAGAGAGCTGGGATGTGGAATAATCTGTCTGGTTGACCTGGCAACTGGTTCTTGGCGATGAAATCCCAGCGCAGTCCCATATGCACGCGATGTTATGATTGTCATCAAAGCGTGTTCTCGTAATCTAGTGCGTGAATCTCTGACATCCTGGCTGCTGTTGCTAGGGATAACAGGAACAAAGTTTTCTGAGTCAGAAATTGAATGATGTTGATTCCGTGGTTCATATGCCTCACTTGTGAGGTGTTGGAGCACTATATTTAGATCCCATGCTGGAGCGCGAAACCTCTGTTTCTGATCCTCCAAACAGAATGCACGTAGTAAGGCGAGTAACTCTGGTGTTTTCGTCAGCTTGACACCCGTTCTCATAGTTATGACAGAGCTTAAAGCTGCAAGATATGTTGATAATGTTGAGCCTTTTAGACGTTTAGTCTGACGTAGGTAACATAAGTAATCAGCCACTTGTGGATGTGTAGCATTTCTAGCTGTAAATCCTTTCTTTGCAGCATAATTTTCAAAACTGTGCCACTTGTCATCGTACAAGTTGCGAGTGGAGTTGCGTAATGCAAGCGTGACTGCTTTCGCGTACGCGTTGAGTCCTTCCCACGATATGCTTAGTGTGTCCGTTGCCCATGCTAGTGGGTCTGGGACTCGTGATACGAATGTTGTCAGCTGATTGTTGAAGCGAGTGGCAAATAGGTCTATTAGTGGAGCTCCTATTTTCTTGATAATTTGTGCGAATATCTCTGTATGGAGCATCCATTCTGTCGGCGATGGTAGGTCAATAGGTTCAGGGACCTGGTTGAGCCTCGTTTGTTCACATAAAACGCCACTGTTGAATTGTCTGTGTGAATCATCAATTTGGCATTCTTTAGTAAGTTGCTCCAATGATGTATGGCGTTTACTACTGCTTGCATTTTTAGCAAGTTTATGTGTAGTTTGCTCTCTTGTTGGCTCCATAACCCTGATGCCGTCCTGTTGGCGAGGTGTGCTCCCCAACCTTGGAGCGACGCGTCTACATAGAGATGTGTTTTCAATTCCGGCTCTATTAAACAGATTCCATCGCAAACATTCGATCTCTTGGTCCACCATAGTAGATGAGGTCTGATGTGCTTCGGTAGACTGAATGGTTGTAGGTCGTCGAGATGAGCGTTGATGAGGACCTGTAACGGACGTAACTGTAGTCTGCCTCTGACTGTCATGTCTTGAGCTGATGTGAGTAGACCCAACAGGCTCTGCCATTGTCGTAGTGGTAGCGGAGAGAGTAAGGCTTGAGGGATTGTCTGTTGGATCTTGATCCATCGGTCCTCCGTATGCGACAATACGATTCTGCGCGCCGTGAGAAATCGAATGCCTAGAAATTGCAGATCTTGCGTAGGTTCTAGGTCCGACTTGAGTAGATTTACTAACCATCCTAACTGTGTTAGTAGCTTGATGATGAAGTTTAACTGTAGTCTGAGACGCTGTGGATCTGGATCCACTTATATCCTGTCGCCGAGGTAGAATGCACTCGCGTAGTCCTTTGACGATGTAGGTAAGAGACGATAGGTTTCGTCACTCTTGTGAATAACCAGGATGAGATTCGAAGGTAGTACTTTCCATTGGTAATGCAGCCCGTCTAGTGTAAACCCGAAGGTATTTCCTGGAGTCGGGATGTATTGGGATGTGTAGATATCGTCTTGCAGATCTATGCTGGCCATGTAGTCTCTGGGACGAATTAAGTGCCGTGAGTTGTGATAAGTGTATCATGCTAAACGCTGGCGGTTTGCGTAGATAGTCTCTGTTGAACGTGCTCATATTGTAGATGAGACGAAACTTTTCTTTGGAATTTTTCTTGGGCACTAGGAAAACTGGGGAGTAGAAGCCTGGTTCGATGTTTACTTGGTCCAGTATTTCTATGGCCTGCTTGGTTAGGAGCGTTGATACCGCTTCTCTTAACTTTGGTAGTTGTAGAGCCTGGAAGTCGAACCTCGGAGGGATGACTGTCAGCGGAGGCGTGGCCTGTAGTTGTATGCGATATCCGGGCTGTAGGATGTTGGAGACATATGGATCCTCTAGGAATCCCCAGTTTTCCCAGTGCAGTTGAAGGCGTCCACCCACTTGTGATGGTTGTACTGGAACGGCTAGGGGTGGAAGACTCCAGTCGTTCCGAACCTGTCCTTCATCGTTTATAATTGCGGGAGCCTCTGGATGACCTGCCTCTTCCCGATGCTCCTCTGTAATTGCCATATGGGCGGCGAAAAGACTCTTTTGCTCCTCTTACAGTAGCCATCTTCCTGTCCCGTGCTTTTTGTAGACCGTAGAACTTCGATTTGCCTGAGTACCTCTGCGAAGTTTGTCTGATGACGCTTGCTAGCGTATCCATAGACTTTATCATGAGTACCTCTCTTGAGTCTTTAGACACTTCTTTAGAGACTTTGTCTATGTTACCATCGAAGATGGACGGTGAAGACCACGGGGCTGTGTAGAGTGGTGCGGTGAAGTGATCATCCCAATTACAGGAGGCGAGGAGACCTTGACGACGAGCCATAGTTGTAGCTGCGGATAGTGCTGTTAAGTGATCCGTAAGGAACTGCTGGTCATTCATCTGCATGAGGAGGGCCGAGTAAATCATTCTATCATCCTCAGATGTAGAGTCTCTGAACTTCGTGAGGAGAGTTTCATTGACTGTTCTTGATCTGTTCAGACCAAAAAACATCCTCCTTGATATGGGCTAGCTTGCGGTCATCTATTCTGTAAGTCTTGGACTTGGCATCGCTGATCATCTTATAGTTGTCATCGATATCTTGAGCCTTGTAAAAAGGGTCCATGTTGTGACCTGCAAACTTGTTAGCGTTGAAATGCGGCACATGTGGTGTCTGTGATTTCATGGCTTTATTCTGTATCCAGATTAGCTGGCACCGCTGCTATCGGGTCAATCGGGGGTAAGGTGATTGTGTTAGCATCGTCTTCCTTCATAAGATATGTGTGGGCTGAGTTCTCGTTCTTAGACGGGGAGGAAAGTTCCAGACTATTCACCATCCAATATCTTATTTCTGCGTCGGAAAATACGATACCATCTTCATCTTCAGACATCGGGTCACAGATAATGTGTTGATGCTCCTCCGACAGTGACTGAGGTGGAGTCCTTGATGATCTGTACGTGGATCGACAAGGTGATCGATGAGGCGATCGATAAGGAGATCGGCGAGTAGAATAAAGTGGAGAACGGACTGACGAGTGGCATCTATAAGGTGACCTTCGCGGAGACTTCCTTGGCGAACGCTGGTAGCTTCGCGAAGCTCTCGGTGACTCTCTTAATGATCTTCTAGGTGAGGATGACTTGGAGCCACTTAACCTTCGTGAAGGCCTTCTGAAGGTTGAGAGTCTGAGTCGGAATCATGGGATGAGAGGATCTTGCTTCGCGAACGTCCTCTCTCATCAAGGTCCGACGTAGCTGATATAGTCATCCTCCGTGAAGACTTCCGTGACTGCTTAGGATCGGGGTCCTTCGTGCAGGCGGGCTGGGTCGCCCTCTTCGAGGCGCGTCAGCG